CCATCTCTACTGCTCTCGCCAGACGCCGCTCAAGTGAGCAGATACGAACCTGAGCGCTCCAGTCATTTCCGGGAATAAACGATACAATATAGCTACAAAATCGCCTAAAAAAAATATAACGCCGAGTTCTGGAATTTACGAATTCCGGATTTTTAGTTCAGCTTTGGAGGCTTAATTATTTAGCCAGAAAAATTGCAGTTGTCGTCGGCCATTAGTGAAACATGAGCCCTGAGCAACCGAGGTTAGACGAGCCGAGCCGTGGAGGCAGGGTTGTGTAGCTGATTAATATACCAATTTAAATTATAAACATTTCAAAAAAAACCACATTTGGAGGCATTACAGTTATTCCGTGATTAAGACGCAACGAAGCGGTCCCCCGCCACACCGTTAGTCACACAGTAACGATCTTACTCTCACCGTTTTACTGTGTATATGGAAATAAGAATGAAGGTCTCCGGACGACTGACGTGCCCTCGCGAGCGGCCTATCACCCTAGATAATCCGGAATCACTTCACAACTGACGGTGACCTCTAATACCCTTTGCCACAAGGCACAGGACGGAAGAGTGCCACGCTAACCACAAAGATCCATGCACAAGAGGCCGGAGCAGTAGTTAAGGTGCTCGGAGTACGCAAGAGCAGCGTTGGTTGACGCGCTTGGTGCGCTAACTGCTGGCAGGTGACGACAACGAGTCTTAGAACGAATTGCACCAAATATACGAGTCTGTAGATTACGCCAAATACAGTACGCGCGAGATTGTGAGTGCGTAGATAAAAGTGGTTAAAGCGTGCGTAGATAAGTGGTTAAGAGAGCATAGATAAGTAGTCAAGAGAGCATAGATAAGTAGTCAAGAGAGCGTAGATAAGTGGTTAAGCGTGCGTAGATACAAGTGATTAATCGTGCGTAGATACAAGTGGTTAAGAGAGCGTAGATGAAAGCTATTCACTACACCAGCGACACTTAACACTGTTACCGGCGACATACGCACCAAGCCGATGATTGGTGAGTACAAGCCGTGAGTAACGAAAATTAACTCACAAGTGACGAGTATAACGTAAATGCGTCAAGATCTAGCGACGTAGTAACGCACTATCGCAATTAACAAACGTCAACTTTGTAGCGGTTTTGCCTACCCAGAAGCGTACGAATCCAGACGGTCCATCTGGCCTATCTAAGCCTGTGTGCACTACTACCGTTTAGCGTCAATACTGCGTTGCTTTTAGCTTCACTAAACCATCGTAATTTCGACGCTGCGGTCGACCCCCAGCAAATGGGAGGACAGGTTGTTGAGAAACAGAAAGATACGCAAACGGGCAACTGTTACAATAACAGAAGTATTAGAACGAGACCAACGGGCAACAGAAGAACAAAAAAGTGAACAACGGATAACAGAAATATGGAACGTGAACAAGGATTTAGAACGGTAACAGGTATACATATTTAGAGCAATGATAAGATATTGATTAATAGGAACTGTTTCACGGCAACAGTAAGTAACGGGAGCACTGAGAATACAACGGCAAAACAACAACAAGTAGGAAAGATACAACAGTTATATATGTGCGCAAAGTGTGAACACCAGTGCAACAGTTCAACGAACAGACAACGAACAGAACAGTAACGAGGAGCGTTAACAACGGAAAGAGAACAGCGCAACGGTAAGGCGCACGTGCGACAGAATAACAAAAAAGCAGGCGGCATGGATCGTGAACAACAGGATAACAAGTCTGAACAACAGGATAGCAAGTTCGAACAACAGAATAACAAGTCCGAACAACAGGATAACAAGTCTGAACAAGAGGATAACAAGTCCGAACAACAGGATAACAAGTCGTGAACAACAGGATAACAAGTCTGAACAACAGGATAACAAGTCTGAACAACAGGACAACAAGTCTGAACAACAGGATAACAAGTCTGAACAACAGGATAACAAGTCTGAACAACGGAACTGCATTAACAACGGTATATAACAGTAAGTTGCATGCAAGTAACACCAATAACGGTACAACAGGAAGGCAACAGAGCATCTGGCGTAAATTACAGCGAGATGCCCCCCCCAAAAAAAAGTTTCTAACTACATTCCGTTTTCTTCATTTGCCACCCCGTTAAAAAAATCCCAACCTAACCTAAGCAACCCACCTAGCCTACTGAGCCGAGGCAAAGAAAACGTAGGATTTTTTTGAGGGGGGAAGGGGGGGGGGGAGTCGTTACTGTTCATAGTAGGATGCATTTATAACGTTGTCTTACCCCATCGTACAAAACTCGACCTGTTACTTGCGAGGGTTGGGTTCTTCGCGAGCCGACGGTAATTAGTCAACCACTTAAAAGAACAATTAAGCAGAAGAAGAACTTTAATCACCTCCCCCCCCCTCACCCCCCAAAGAGGCAAAGAGTGGCGTTGGATAGAGGTTGAATCATCGTTAACGACGTCGAGGTTAAACGTCGAACGTCAACGTGGTTCGTTCGATTCGATGTCGAACCAACGCCATTTTTTTTTCCCCCGTCACTGTGCCCACAGGGGCGTGAGTGACCGCACCGAGTCCGGTCAGAGGCAAAGTGGTGTCCAAAGTGGTGTCCGAAAGTGACAGCACGGAAGTAGTACTTTTAGTTTCCGGCGCGAGTAACGCCACGGACGCGGATTTCTAGAGTGACGTCTGAAATCCGCCGTGATTGACGCGGGATAACATTAACGCAGCGAAATAAATCGCTGACGAGCGTCTGACACGTGGAGGGAGGCGGTAAGGGGGTTAGGGGAGTTCCGGCGGTGAATTAGCGCTGTTCCGGCGGTGAATTAGCGCTGTTCCGGCGGTGAATTGGCCCTGTTCCGGCGGTGAATTGGCGGTGTTCCGATGGTGAATTGGCGCTGTTCCGGCGGTGAATTAGCGCTGTTCCGGCGGTGAATTAGCGCTGTTCCGGCGGTGAATTAGCGCTGTTCCGGCGGTGAATTAGCGCTGTTCCGGCGGTGAATTGGCGCTGTTCCGGCGGTGAATTAGCGCTGTTCCGGCGGTGAATTGGCGCTATTCCGGCGGTGAATTGGCGCTGTTCCGGCGGTGAATTAGCGCGGTGAGGTTCCTCAACGGGAACTTATGGTGCAGGACTTTACCGAGCAGTTAGCTACACGTGTCTCAGAGTGCACTGTGCTACATAACACAGACGGGCCCACGGGGACCACTTCACTACTGGCATAAAGGGCGCCCGCCTGTACAGGCAGCAGGAGAACGAGGGTAAAACACTTGGGTGACAAAGTGTAGTGGAACCATTGACAAAATACTGGAGTAGTCCCCCCTCGAAAAGTGTGTGTACGTGGGTGTCCTGTTGGATTACGGTGAATGTAAACAGTCCCGTGAATAACAACGGGTACACATGTATGAGAGATGAGCAGCGCTCACGTGTGTGTGTGTGTGTGTGTGTGTGTGTGTGTGTGTGTGTGTGTGTGTGTGTGTGTGTGTGTGTGTGTGTGTGTGTGTGTGTGTGTGTGTGTGTGTGTATTCACCTAGTTAAATGAACAAATCCACAAGGGCCGTGACGAGGATTCGAACCTGCGTCCGGGAGCATCCCAGACACTGCGTTCACCTAGTTATATTCACCTAGTTGTATTTGCGGGGGGTTGAGCTCTGGCTCTTTGCGCCCGCCACTCAATCGTCAATCAACTAGTTTTTTTTCCACACACACACCCAAGAAGCAGCCCGTAACAGCTGTCTAACTCCCAGGTGTTTATTTACTGCAAAGTAAACAGGGGGGCATTAGGGTGAAAGAAAGTCTGCCCATTTGTTTCCGCCATCGCCGGGGATCGATCCCCGGTCCCTAGGATTACGAATACCGAACGTTGTCCACTCAGCCACCAGGCCCCCTATGTATATGTGTGTGTGTGTGTGTGTGTGTGTGTGTGTGTGTGTGTGTGTGTGTGTGTGATGATAAGGGGCGGTTACACGTGCGCCTGAGAGGGAGGTAACGGCATAGGGGCTGATGGACGGGAGTATAGGGTGAAAGCGAGAGAATAGGTGCGCAGTGTGGGGCCGGAGGAGCGCAGTGTGGGGCTGGAAGTGCGCAGTGTGGGGCTGGAGGCGCGCAGTGTAATGATATCATTATTATTAATGATTAATACTGATAATATTACCATTATGGGATGCAGGTGTGTGAGAATGATGACAGGTGTGGGAGTGCATGACAGGTGGCAGCGGCCCGCTGTACAGGGAGTGCGCTGACACGCATGACAGCACGGCATGACAGCACGGCAACAGGTGAGCGTCAACACGGGGTGCGTGCCGCTGAGGACACGGCCGAGAAACGTATTATATAGTGGTATATATTATATATTCCCCCCCTCCTCCCCCCTCCCCACGCCTCGTCATGGTGGGGGGAAGGGGGTAGTCATGGCGGTAATGAGGAGGAGTAATATTTGCGTCGTTCTCCAGCCCTTTGGCCGCGTTTGGGGAGGGCGTGCGTCAGGCCGCGTAGTGTGTTGCATGCGTTGCAGAGGGCGCACATGCGCGGCAGACGGCACGCACATGCGTTGAAGATAGCAGGCGTGCGTGTGTGTGCGTGCGGCTTTGCAAACGGCAAGCGCGTACAGTGTCGTAAAACTGACTCAAATATTTATAAACAAATACGATAAAGAATGCGTAGAGGCATTTCATATCCACCAGTACTCTCTACTTCGCATCACCTATAAAAAAATGTATTCCTGGTACACAAATTTGTGTTGTATATACATTAAAATACAAGAGGCACGAGTAAATTATGCCTTTCAGACAACACGGACACTAGAGTCGAATATGTTCCGTTTCAGGCACGACTGAAATCCCACGAATCAAGGTTATAGATACGACATTGAGTCTGACGAAGGGATAGCGAGCTCCCTGCCAAGCTAATCTCTCTTTCTCTCTCTTTAAGCGATCCAAATCATCTCCACGCAAGCTAACTCATCTCTGTTTGTTGAGATCACTCAACAAACAAGAGACAACAACACTACTACAACTACAACAAGAACACTCACCATTGGCGGAAGGCGGCGGCGGCATGGGTTTCTGGTCCCGGTCGTTGTTGTTGTTGTTATTGTTGTTGTTGTTGTTGTTGTGGTGGTGCGGGGACGGGGTTTCGGACCTCTCGCTTCTGTCCTTCCAGGAGCTGGTGTCCGCGGGGGCGCCGGGCGGGGAACCTGTGGAGGGGGGCACGTGTCACTATTACACAGGTGCCAAGACATCTACTATTTCTCTACCAGTTAACAGTTTACAGTTAACAGTTTACAGTTAACAGTTTACAGTTAACAGTTTACAGTTAACAGTTTACAGTTTACAGTTAACAGTTTACAGTTAACAGTTTACAGAGTTAACAGTTTACCTGACTACATGTATAATAATATCAAAATACATAATTATTTTAAGATACATTAAATCATATATATATATATATATATATATATATATATATATATATATATATATATATATATATATATATATATATATATATATATATATATATATATATATATATATATATATATATATATATATATATATATATACATATATATATATAGCTTGAGCCTGCAAGCACAAGTAGGTGAGTACATACAGGTCCTCGCGGCCGAGAGGGACAGTGCTCGGGAGACGTCATTTTAAGGGCCCGGGTTCGATTCCCGACCGAGGTAGCAATAAATGGGCAGAGTTTCGTTCGCTTGATGGCTCTGTTCACCTAACAGTAAACAGGTACCTAGGAGGTTACTATGGGCCACAACCTGGGAATATATGTGCGAAACAGAGAGAAATAAATGTAGTAGATATATGACAGAAAAATTAGATGGAGAGTACATTAGACAACCGACGGTTAGAAAGGCGGGGCCCAAGAGCTAACAGCTCCACCCTGCAATCACAAACACTGGACACGTCGATTAAGAAATAGACTCGCAAACTAACACCATAGCATAAACCAGATTTTCCCGAAGCGTTGAAATCCGGTCACAAGGAATGCTACTACACTGTTACCTAGCAGTAAATAGGTACCTGGGAGTTAGTCAACTGTCACGGGCTGCTTCCTGGGGGTGGAGGCCTGGTCGAGGACCGGGCCGCGGGGACACTAAAGCCCCGAAATCATCTCAAGATAACCTCAAGAAGATACACACATTAATCACAATAGCGTGATGCATCAAATGAACAGATCCACAAGGGCCGTGACGAGGACTCGAACCTGCGTCCGAGAGCATCCCAGACGCTGCCTTAATCGACTGAGCTACGACATGGTATAGGAATTGCAATTTTGGCTGCAGGATCCAAGTAAATTCAGTAGAATTTCTGGTTGCAATTCTCATATCATGTCGTAGCTCAGTCGATTAAGGCAGCGTCTGGGATGCTCTCGGACGTAGGTTCGAATCCTCGTCACGGCCCTTGTGGATTTGTTCATGGGACTACAGTCTGCCGTACAGCAGGTGGGTACTTACGCGTTTCTCCATTATGGTGGTGAAGGCCCGGGTGCAGGCCGGTCTGCAGGAGGTACTGCCTCTGCACGGCCTGCAGCTGCTGCACTAGCTGCTGCTGCTGCGCTCCCAGTTGTGCTAGCGGTCCAGACACCTTACTCTGCCGGCACAAAGAAAAAAGGGTATTAAGCCCAATCTCTAAGATCAACGAGTATGAGAAAATCCTTGAAGCAGGATGCTCATCGAACTAACGTCCTAGGTTCAACTCCCCCCTTCCCCTAGACGCGCGCCTGAACCCATTGTACCCTGATATGCGTCTGGGGTGGCCCCCAAGACGCTGCTTCTAACCCCGTCCTGTGCCAAAGACTATCTCTTAGAAATGCTAATTTCAGTGTGTGTGTGTATCAATGAGTACTATTCCTCCCCGGTAAACAACTCACAATACACATTATTCTACCACAAAGATACAAGCCACTGGAGGGTGGACGGTAGAGCGACGGTCTCGCTTCATGCAGGTCGGCGTTCAATCCCCGACCGTCCACAAGTGGTTGGCCACCATTCCTTCTTTCCCCCGTCCCATCCCAAATCCTTATCCTGACTCCTTCCCAGTGCTATATAGTCGTAATGGCTTGGCGCTTTCCCCCTGATAGTTCCCTTCCCTACCACAAAGATATACAGCAGGTGCTCGTGTTGATGCTTACAGATATCAATATATAATTACTACTAATTTGATACTTTCTGAAACATAATCTTGATTTGTTGGTCTCTTCGTTAAACGAGGTCTCGTTTTGTCCTGTTCTACTACACGAATGTTCTATGGTTCTACCACACAACTGTTCTGCCCACATGTTCTATGGTTCTACATCACACACACAAAAAAAACGTTAGGCCTAATAATTCACAAAAAAGTACAAAATAAGATAAAATGTATATTAAAATAAAAATACAAAAAATATAAAATGGAAATACAAAATAAAAATAAAAATATAAAATGGAAACAGGGGAAAAAATGAACAATTTTTTTTAGTTTTTTTGGGGGGAAAAAAAATACGCACGCTACCCCGTCAACGGGACGGAACAGCGATGGAAGGAGTGTCCCTTGGAACAGACAGGAGCAGCAGCGTCCTCTCCTCACAGATTTAGTACTTTGCAAAACATGCAAAATATATGAACGGACAGAAGAAAACCGTAAGTCATAAAATAAATAAATTGTACAAGAAGTGAAGAATTGTGTAGATTATCATTCTTATATACCATGCAGCAGGAGTAGGAAGGAAGGAATTATCAGGGGAAAGCGCCAAGCCATCCCCTGATAATTCCTTCCTTCCTACTTGGAAGACTTGGAGTAGTCTCTTGTAGGAGTTTTACTCCCTCCTACAGGAGGCTTGTGTATGCATGGCCCTATATTTATAGCGAGAGGCCTATCGTTGTGAAATCACAATCGTCACGATTGTGGCGCGACGAAACCACAATCGTCGCACAATCGTCGCGATTGTGGTTGCACTAACTAGCGCAATCAAACTAAATGTTACTGTTTTCCCGATTGACAACGAGTTTTATTTTTTTCCAGGACAATGTTCATTATATTTTTCCTTAGCAGCTCCTCCTGCCGCAGCTGCGACAGGTCCTGCTGCTGCTGCAGCTGCGACTTTTTCATTACAGCACCGCCATTACAGCAGGATAAGAACGGCGAAGTGACCCAGCGATGTTGAAGCTCCTTCAGGTAGGACCACGACCGCTTCTGCATCAGGCGATAGGTGTTTAGCTGCCGGAAGCAGCCATAGGCTATCAATGCCGCAACGAACCCGTATGTTACCATTGTGGAGCAGCAGCAGGTCTTCCAGGCTCAGGTCTCCGAGGGCTAGGTCTCCGAGGGCCAGGTCTCCGAGGCTCAGGTCTCCGAGGACCAGGCCTCCGAGGGCCAGGTCTCCGAGGCTCAGGTCTCCGAGGACCAGGACTCCGAGGGCCAGGTGTCCGAGGCTCAGGTCTCCGAGGACCAGGTCTCCGAGGGCCAGGTCTCCGAGGGCCAGGTCTCCGAGGACCAGGTCTCCGAGGGCCAGGTCTCCGAGGGCCAGGTCTCCGAGGGCCAGGTCTCCGAGGGCCAGGTCTCCCAGACCCTCGCCAAGCTGCAGCAGCGTTCCTCCGTGACCGCTGGCCCTTGAAGCCGCCCGTACAGGAATTTCACTATACCCACCAAAGTGTGCACGTTTATTTCGCATTTCTTTAATGTTAATAAATTAAGAATATCAACTATTTGTATATAAATTTGTCGAGTATACTACACTACTTTTTATAGTACAGAAAAGGAACATATGCCTACACCCACACTTGTGTCCTGGCTTTCGGCGGGAAAGGGGGTCCCTCCTGGTAATAGATTGGCTGCGCTTGCCCCACGACACCCGAAACGCCTTCTTCCGTACAGACATGAAAGTCTGTGGACTAGGAATTCCCGACTTTGCAGCATCAATCCGGCTGGAGGGCGATAGTAGAGTTGGAGATTCCAGTGGAGAGACGCTCCGTGTCTCCTACCCGCATTCCAAGCCCGAAAGAGTCGATGGGTAGACCTGACCACGGATACTGGAACTCATTCTGGGAGCACAGCGCGTCTGAGTACGCTAGTACTTGGAGGGCGACAGTGTTCAGCACTGTTGATAGTGCCCGGTCTTGAATCTGCCTCGGAGGTTCCATCTTGCCCACAAGTGAGTCTCTTCCGGTACCCGACTGCTTAGTGGCGGAGATTTCGCTCACGCAGTCCAGACTAAGAGCAAACACTGTGGCCACTCTATCCAGAGCGGCTAAGGGGAGATAGACCCGGGGGCGAGTGGTCTCTGAGGTGCCTGCAGAAGACCCGGTACCCTTGGTCACATCTCCTAGTCCTGCTGTAAGACACACGGGGCCTGTCATGACCATATTGCCCAGGCCATAGCCAGGCTTTGGGTTGGAACGTGAAGTTTGTAACATAATTTATTAATTCAGTGTGTCGGGAAAAGGCAGCCTGTGTATTTATAATATATATATATATATATATATATATATATATATATATATATATATATATATATATATATATATATATATATATATATATATATATATATATATTAGGCTTATATGTCCCCGTGGCGTAGTGGTAAATTAAGACACTCGTCTGGCGTTTCAGGCGCTCGGTTTCGCGAGCACTTTGTCTTGGGTTCGTATCCTGGCCGGGGAGGATTTCCTGGGCGCCAATCCTTAACTGTAGCCTCTGTTTAAACCAATAGTAAAATGGATACCTGGTTGTTAAACGATTTGGCGAGTCGATTTCCGGGGACCATAGGATTAAGGACCTGCCCGAAACACTACGCGTGCTGGTGGCTGTACAAGCATGTAAGAACTATTGTATATCTAAATAAATAAATATGGAGGTCTCCTCCCCAGGTCGAATTACTGACCCTCCCCAGGATGCAATCCCACAACAAGCTGACTAACTTCTGGGTACCTAATTTGCTGCTAGGTGAACAGGCGGTTTAGGTGATAGGAAACGTGCCCAATCATTTCTGTCCCGCTCGGGATTCGATCCCGGAATCCTCGATTGCGAGTCAGGAACGAACCCAACTGTGCTACCGGGATAATACGGCAACCCGGAGATCTTTTTCTTTCGAAGACCAGAGTGCCAGTCAGCAGGTAGTGAAGAACGGAGCGAGGATGCTGAAAACTAGAGCAAGGAACTGGAGCCGAGGGGGAGAGGGGAGGTGCAGAACAGTCGCTGAACCACCAAGCATTTGAACCTGGTTCTGTTACTATAAGGCTGAGTTGGATTGTTCTTGATATCCCAAAGACTACAGAACAGTTACAGCCCCGCTCCTGTGCCAGGGAAGTTCACTACGGGCTCACCATAGCCCGTGCTACTTGGATATTTGTTCCCAGTAGCTGAATCTTAAACAACAACAACATCCCAAAGACGTCGCACAAGAGCATGGTTCACGATTAGCTGGCAAGGCGCATGTAGGTTCCGTCGCTGATGTTATGGCGTTTGTTGAGTCAACTCCGGCTTCCGCTGGGTCTTCTGTGACCTCGTCTGGGCCTTGACTTCGCGTCCCAACTCTCCCTGGATGGTTGTTTGGGTCCTTCTCGCAGTATGTTGGGGGTCGATGATGTCTAGGTGCATCGTGTTCATGTCGGTGATGTTGATGGAATGTCTCGGCTTCAACGACTTATTTCTTGGGTCGTTCCAACTCTTCGAGTTGCAAGTCCTGGTTATTTGTCGTCCCAGTAGCGGGTCTCTTGACATCTTTCTTTTCCTGTGTATTTGAGGCCGAGTGCTTCAGGAATGTGGTGGATGCCACATTTTTTTTCTTCTAGCGGGGTGACATCGTCAGGAATAGGGCCGCTAACAGCCATGGAAACACAAACCGAAACTGTCTCTATTTTCCGCTTGTTACAACTTGTAATAAAGTTGTTATATCTTGGCTTAACGTGTTTATGACGTATTAGAACGTTGTTACAACTTGCTACATTGGTTGTTATAACTGGTTAGGTGTTAAAACTTGTTCGAACGTTGTACCAACGTCGTAGTTTCGGTGTGTGTTTGGCAGGAGGGGCTTCATTTTCTTCCGTCCTCCGTGGACAAGATTAGAGATCTGTTACACAAATAATTCTCCGGTTCATTGAACAATCAACACCAAAAGGTGATTGCAGTAATTTTAAAATGTTAATCTAACCTACATACACAAATACATACATACATACAGACACTGTTTACGTCTGTTCTACATAAACAGTGTTCGAGGGATGTTCTCTTATACATAATGTCATTAATGTGCGTTGTTTTAGCTTTTAGCTTTAGTTCTTTTTAATGAAAAACTGTGCACCTGTGCACCATACTGTGGGAGCCGGATGGCCGAGCGGACAGCACGCTGGCCTTGTGATCCTGTGGTCCCGGGTTCAATCCCGGGCGCCGGCGAGAAACAATGGGCAGAGTTTCTTTCACCCTATGCCCCTGTTACCTAGCAGTAAAATAGGTACCTGGGTGTTAGTCAGCTGTCACGGGCTGCTTCCTGGGGGTCGAAGACCTGGTCGAGGACCGGGGCCGCGGGGACACTAAAAAGCCCCGAAATCATCTCAAGATAACCACCTCCTACCTGTGTGTGTGCGCTGTGTCTTATAGAAGAACAAATACAAAATATTTTTTTCATTGTACTAACAGTTATTATTGTCATCTTAGCTCCAAGTGGGAGAGATGGACCAACTAACCATTTATAAATATTTTAGTTTGTGTTGGTAAGGAAATTTGTGTGCTTTGGGGTCTCCGCCTATCCCCGTGCCCTATGGATAGAGGTCTCCGCCTATCCCATGCTCTGTGGATAGAGGTCTCTGCCTATCCCATGCCCTATGGATAGAGGTCTCCGCCTATCCCATGCCCTATGGATAGAGGTCTCTGCCTATCCCATGCCCTATGGATAGAGGTCTCCGCCTATCCCCGTGCCCTGTGGTTCAGGGTACCGGGCGCCCCGAAGTTTAAAAAAAAAAAACTTACGCCCCCCCGAAGTGCCCAGGACAGAAAGGGGGCCAAAACAGAACACAAGGGGGCCTCGCCCCCCTTTCATAGCATTGCAACAGGAAGATGAGTAAGAATCAAGAGGTCGGGATTCATTACAGAAGACGACCGACAGATGGGAAGATGTGGACCCCCCATTTAGCAGCCGAAGAAGTTCGGCCCCTCCAAAGTCTATTAGATTTAAGAGCTGTTCGAACACCTCCCAGCAACTGACTGCGCTGTTTCCGAACACGCACAAAGGCGTCACTACTGACTGTCTACCCGACATGTTTACTTGTGTAATCTTATCGACAAAAGACGATTCTCGCGGTGCGTCGTGCCGCTTGGCCGTGCGTCGTCGGTACGTCGAGTTTATACCACTGACCCGGTGGGTACAGAATCCCAAGAGTGACGTCGGTTCGACGTTGAATTAACGTTTTCGACGTTGAATTAACGTTTTCGACGTTGAATTAACGTTTTCGACGTTGAATTAACGTTTTCGACGTTAATGTTGATTCGGCGTGGAATTTGTGCTGCTGGTCCTGACCATTATGCCTACTGGGGGATGCTGTGATGCGCGATCCATTTGTGCCGCAACAATCTCTTCTCGCTGGTTCCCAGCTGAATACGGCTCTAATGACCTGGTTGTTCCCGCGAACTGTTTACCTCGAGTTTACCTGTAGACGATTTCGAGAGATTTTCAGGTTGTTGCTTGCGACCTCCACCCCAGAACCACCTGGCCTCTGAGACATGCTACAAGTCACAGAGAGAGAGAGAGAGAGAGAGAGAGAGAGAGAGAGAGAGAGAGAGAGAGAGAGAGAGAGAGAGAGAGAGAGAGAGAGAGAGAGAGAGAGAGAATCTCAACTCACTACCATAATAAACAGATTTTTTTTTAGCACTATCGCCCACAAAGTCAAAATTCCAATGATTTGGTGAAAATAAAAACAGCATGATCTTGACGCTTTCTCGGATTATCAAGCGTCCGCCCCCGGTGCTTAGGGTAAAACAATTCATATTTGACGTTCGTCGAATCGTAACAACGGACTGAAATTAATAACGTTCCTAGTTATTCATTTCAGTCGTTTATCATACTAAATTTCTCAAGAATAAAGGTTTGGTTGGTTGATTAACTTTCTATAAACATTTTCTGCCATGTCAACGTATCGAGTAAATTAGTAACGCAAATTATTTTTACTAAATGAAAAAAAAAATGACTAAATAAAAATATTGATTAGACGCTAATTAAAAGATATTTGTGTCGTTAAATTCTACCAAAACTTAGGACTACTGTTCCAGGAGTGATGTAATAGTTAATTTAATAATCTCCGCTGAGGTCTCATAAAAGACCTTTTGTGCCCTCTGTAAGCCTTTTTTGCGCTACCGCTCACAGGATGAGTATCGGGTGCACAATAAACTAGCCACCACCGGCGGCAATAATCAAATCGCTGCATTAAAACTCCGGACTACTGTTGTACTACTACACAAAAACGTTGGAACTACATACAGAAAATATCTGAATGGAAAGCCTAATACATTACACGCTAGTTAAGTCAGACTTAGCGAGGTCAGCACTTGTGTGTGTGTGTGTGTGTGTGTGTGTGTGTGTGTGTGTGTGTGTGTGTGTGTGTGTGTGTGTGTGTGTGTGTGTAAAATTACCTAAGTGTAGTTACAGGATGAGAGCTACGCTCGTGGTGTCCCGTCTTCCCAGCACTCTTTGTCATATAACACTGCTTGTGTGTGTGTGTGTGTGTGTGTGTGTGTGTGTGTGTGTGTGTGTGTGTGTGTGTGTGTGTGTGTGTGTGTGTGTGTGTGTGTGTGTGTGTGTGTGAGTGTGTGTGTGAGTGTGTGTGTGAGGGAAACCTATGAGCCTTACCTTGTCGGGCGTCTGCATAAGCTGCGTCTGCTGTATAAGGTTCACCTGCAGCTGCTCCTGCAGCTGCTGCAGGATCTGCTCCAGCTGTTTTCGACCCAGCTCCGCCAGCTGCTGGTGTTGCTGCTGTAGGGAGAAGAAGAAAGATGAGAACCTCGTGTTATTGACGGAGGAAAGCGGTCAAAATATTGAGGTCAACGAACAACAATTAACCTCGTCGATAACCCCCCCCCCCCTTCGTTAAGCGTCTCTCCGTAGCACCTGTACCGTGGGAGGAGTGGGAGGGGATTGCCTATGGGGGAGAGAAGGTGGGGGAAGATCGCATGGGGGTCCTCTCCCCCCCCCCTCTCCCCCCCCCCACCTTCAGCGCCCTCGGCAGCGGTTTGACCGCCGTCAAGAACACACCAATGATGACTAACAATCTCCTCCAAGATGGTCTTTAGCTCTCTCCTGCTTAACTACCTAACTTAATCATTAATCACCCAAACTTGGGAGGGAAATTTGAATGGAAGGTATATGTACATAGCCTATCTTGTAAAGTGTCTACGAACCTTACTTAATTAAGTGTGTAGATATCGACTACTTAAGAATCTTAGTGCTGTCAATGTTATGATCTAATTAACCATTGCATCATGTTCTTCAATATCTTTGTTAAATATAATTATTATTACTAAACATGCCTAAAAACGACATTAACAAATTTGAAATAACACCATAAAAAATAATTAATCTTAACGAGTAATAAAATGTAACTATACGATAAATTACACAAATATTAAAACATTATTAATAGTAAAAAAATAATAATTAATATTATAATTAAGAATTCATATAATTACAATTGTGAACACAAAATAATTTTCTTTTAAATCTGGTAAAATAAGCGACAAGGTAATACTAACAATAAAATACATCAAAGATATTGTATACAGTATAAAGCTAATATATATGCATCAAAGATAATGTATTCTTATACAGCTAATGATCTGACGCCGTCAATACTAAAATATGTATGAATGAATACAGTAATCCGAGGGGCAATGACTCACTCCCACACGCCACATTGGGTGAGTTTATTCCCACTCACTACACGGGGCGAGTTTATTCCCACACCCACTACACGGGGTGAGTTTATTCCCCCACCCACTACACGGGGTGAGTTTATTCCCCCACTCACTACACGGGGTGAGTTTATTCCCCCACCCACTATACGGGGCGAGTTTATTCCCCCACCCACTACACGGGGTGAGTTTATTCCCCCACTCACTACACGGGGTGAGTTTATTCCCCCACCCACTACACGGGGTGAATTTACTCCCACACATTACATGTGCTGAGTTTACTCCACAAGGAGTGACCTCATAAACCTTACCCCATGTACCCAGTAACACCGCTGATAACACCCCTGATAACACCTCGCCGCCCCCCTCCCTCCCCCCACTAACTAACAGCCACGCTCCACAGGTACAATAACAATGATAACAGTATTTCCACCGGTGGTTGATGATTTACGCACGTAAACAGGCGTAAACAGGCGTAAACCATTTACCCAAAATGTTCATACTTAAAAGTGTGCACAATTTGATTTTTTTTTAACGTAAACATTGCATGTTAAACTTACGTGAAAGAGATCCATGGGGGTTTCCAGCGCTAACATCAGGGAAGATTATTGTGAACAATGCCGATGTTCACCGATACTCCTTCAAGACAACAAATTTCAGCTCGGAGAAAGATACATATTAATCTTCATCTATTTCTAGTTTGTTGAGGTCCGTTCCGAGGAGAATTAATGATGTGGTTGAGGCTCCGAAGTACAAAGTTTTGAGGAAGGTCGAACTCGCAAAGGCGAAAATATATCAGCGTTGAGGCTACCAGTTTAAGGTCTTTTATCTACACCTCCGGCGGTTACACATTTTGAGTCTTTCACCACCGGTTAAAACTGTTCATTAACACACTATAAAATATATATATATGTAAAAAAAAAAGGAGAAAATTCTGGGGCCACGAGACGGGAGAAGGTATCTAGTGCGCGCAGACGGGGCGACGGCCGCGCGGGAAGAGCAGTACACGTCTACCTCTCACTGGCGCCCGCGAGCAACTAGACTCGCTGGGAATAAACAGCTATGCAATAACTTCATCCCAGGCATCCTTACCCCTCCCTCTCCCTGTCCCACCCCTCCCTCTCTCTCTCTACCACCATCACTACAACCACCACCACCACCTCCTCCTCCTCTTACACCCCTCCCTCTCTCCCTCTCACCGTCATCTCCCCCCTCCTCCCTTCCCCCTTGCTGTCTTAACTCCCTCATTTCGTCCACAGAAAGGCGACTATTCCTGTCAAGCTTCACACTTCGTTATTTCAATTAATTTTGTGAATTGTATCATTCTAACTGGCCGAGGCCCGATCGGAAAGGTTTAATATTTATATTAGGTGGTTTAGGTAGCGCCAGGAGGCGAGGCGTGTGTAGCAAAATGAAACAAAAGACGGCGAGGTGTTTATCACCCCGCAATTGGATATCCGCCGCACAGAGCGCAGCATTTCAGCGCGAGACGAAACTCACCGAGAAATCCCTCTAACTCTGGTATCGATCACCTTCCTCCTCCTCCTCCTCCTCCACACCACCCTCTTCATCCTCAGGTTGGGAGGGGAGGGGAGAGGAGAGGAGGGGAGAGGGGGGGAGAGGGGAGAAGGGGGAACGGTTAGGGGGGAGAATTCCCAACCTACACCAATCTCCCTCTACATAACCAATCGCCCAGAAACACTGACGTGTCTTAGAACGTATAACACTGAAAGCAACTCTCGGTACTTTCCTGTAAAGTTGTTTTTGTTTGTAAATAAATAAATACAAATAAACACAATTCCCTCCCCCCCCCCGGGCCGTGTATCTCTACACACGTGCGCCGGGAGTTTGGTGTTGTGACGTCACCCCAACTTTGACACAACACCAGTGTCCCGCCGCCAACAGATGGCTCTGGCGAACCACTTTTCTTCGGGCGGCAACTTTCAGTCCCTCCCCCCACCCCACACCCCCCTCCACTATTTCTACGCACATGATTATCAAGTCTAATTAGCATGCCCAGTTTAATTAGAAACCTTTCAACAGGGGGGGGGGGGGGCATCATGATTCTGATGTGAATTTTGTCATCACTGGTGTTTTAATTGCGGTTAACCTGGACATGTTGTGGTGAAGAGCGCAGGATTTTCCCGCCAAGCTGCACTTTGCCCGTTGGGGCGCAGCCGTGAGTTAAAATTCCACATTCACTCGTATTGCAACAGAATTAAACACTAACAAAAAAATAACCGAAAAATACCATATAAAAAATACTGAAAATTGCGGTCATCCTCTATAATATGTGGAAAATGTAATCCTATTAAAAGGACTGACAAATAACCATTCGCAATTTGATTTTCAGGCAGGGAAAAAAATGAACTTCTAACCCGTTATCATCGTTAACATCTGCTTCTGTTAAAATATTGGAATATATATATATATATATATATATATATATATATATATATAATATATATATATATAGATATATATATATATATATATATATATATATATATATATATATATATATATATATATATTTTTTTTTTTTTTTTTAGTTTGTGAGGGTACCACCTCTGGTGGCAATGGTGGGACCCATAGCCTCGGAGAAGAAAATAAAAAGTATTCAGAGGAGACCTTGCGGTTTCTCACTGAACACTATCTGGTAAATCTGGTTATATATATATATATATATATATATATATATTAATATATATATATATATATATATATATATATATATATATATATATATATAATATATATAATTTCCTCTGGTACAAGTGTAGGGACCCATAGCCTCGGAGAAGAAAATAAGAGTACTCAGAGAAGACCTTGTGGATCCTCACTGAATACTTTGATATTTTCTTCTCCTACCACCCCTATAATATATATATATATATATATATATATATATATATATATATATATATATATATATATATTATTGTACCTAGTAGCCAGAACGTCGTACTCGGCCTATTGCCTAATAAGACAAGTTTTCCTGAATTTATATATTTTCAATTTTTTTTTTGTTTGAAATGATAAATCTGGTTATTTCATTATGTATAAGTTAATTTGTCTAAATTTGAGTTAAAACTAAAGTAGATATATGACCGAACCTAACCAACCCTACCTAACCTAACCTAACCTATCTTAACCTAACCTAACACAACTTCGTCAATAATTATATGTTCCTAATATAATATAATTATAATAATTAAATAAAACTAATTGGAACAACTTATTGAAAATAAAAAAAAAACACTCGGCCTATTAGGTAAATCGGGCCTTGCATAGTAATCCAAGAAGTGCGTTCTGGCTACTAGGTACGACATATATATATATATATATATATATATATATATATATATATATATATATATAACTGAAAACTCACACCCCAGAAGTGACTCGAACCCATACTCCCACAACTGGTATGTACAGGGACGCCTTAATCCGCTTGACCATCACGACCGGACATAAGGAAGTGATAGCCGAGGCTATATGAACCACTTCCCCGCCGGCACTCGGATGGTAATCTTGGGCATAGCATTTTATCAAATCACCTCATTCTTTGGGGCACACGTGAGGAACACAAATGCAAACAAGCCTGAATGGTCCCCAGGACTATATACAACTGAAAACTCACACCCCAGAAGTGACTCGAACCCATACTCCCACAACTGGTATGTACAGGGACGCCTTAATCCGCTTGACCTTCACGACCATCACCAGTTGTATATAGTCCTGGGGACCATTCAGGCTTGTTTGCATATATATTATATATATATATAATATATATATATATATATATATATATATATATATATAATATATAGATAGATATATATAAAAACCTATATATATATAAAAAACCTATATATATATATATATATATATGATATATCTATAATTATATATATAAAATTGTCCTGGGGACCATTCAGGCTTGTTCGCATATATATATATATATATATATATATATATATATATATATATATATATATATATATATATATATATATATATATATATATTATATATATATACTGATTTATATAAGGGGTGCCACATCTGGTGCAATTATGGGGACCCATAGCCTCGGAGAAGGGAATAATGAGCATTCAGAGAAAAACTTGAGGTTAAACTTAAATATGAATTTGCTTCTCCTTTTATGTATACTTTATTTACACAGTTACACAACTAATTAGTTAGAAAATGTGAACACTAAGGAAGGAAGGATTAAGAAAGGAATTTCCTTAAGTACTTTCGTATTTAATAACACATCTTCAGAAGATATTGATCCTTTTGAAGATGTATTATTAAATACGAAAGTACTTCAGAGTACTGTAAGGAAATTCCAGTCTTAATCCTCCCTTCGTGGTCTGACACATATATATATATATATATATATATATATATATATATATATATATATATATATATGTCGTACCTAGTAGCCAGAACGCACTTCTCAGCCTACAATGCAAGGCCCGATTTGCCTAATAAGCCAAGTTTTCATGAATTGTTTTTCTACTACCTAACCTAACCTAACTTTTTCGGCTACCTAACCTAACCTATAAAGATAGGTTAGGTTAGGTTAGGTAGGATTGGTTAGGTTCGGTCATATATCTACGTTAATTTTAACTCCAATAAAAAAAAATTGACCTCATACATAATTAAATGGGTAGCTTTATCATTTCATAAGAAAAAAAATTAGAGAAAATATATTAATTCAGGAAAACTTGGTTTATTAGGCAAATCGGGCCTTGCATAGTAGGCCGAGTACGACGTTCTGGCTACTAGGTACAACATATATATATATATATATATGATGATATATATATATCACACCAGCCACAGCCAGGCCACCACCAGCCACCAGCCATCAGCCAGGCCACCAGCCACCAGCCCGGCCACCACCAGCCACAGCCAGACCACCACCAGCCACAGCCAGGCCACCACCACCCACAGCCAGGCCACCACCAGCCACAGCCAGGCCACCACCACCAGCCACAGCCAGGCCACCACCAGCCACAGCCAGGCCACCACCAGCCACAGCCAGGCCACCACCAGCCACAGCCAGGCCACCACCAGCCACAGCCAGGCCACCACCAGCCACAGCCAGATGTTAAGCTCGCTGGACAGGTTTTCGGTGACTTTTTTAATGACTAACTAGAAAAAAAAGAGAGGACCAAGGTGGTCACCCTGCTGGACACCTTCACAATGCAATGTTCACCCAATAGTGGCTTTAGGTCAACACTGCAGCACGAATGTACAAAGTGGTAGCGGGAAGGGAAATAACGAAGAACAGCATGGAACAATGATGCATCTCTTCTGACCAAGCGTAAAGCACTTTTGAAATCCAATTTGATTAAATCCTTTTGGCTTGTGTTAGCAATGAATGCTCGAGCTACATGGACCGCTGCTTCACAAAACTGAGGAATACTCAACCAGAGTTGTTTTGGTTTTATCATGTCGGCCACCAGCACCGCTCCTGTGCCAGATAAGTTCACTACGGGCTCACCATAGCCCGTGCTACTTGCCCCGCTCCTGTGCCAGGTAAGTTACGGGCTCACCATAGCCAGTGCTACCTGGACACTTGTTCCGAGTAGCTGAATCTATAACAACAACAACCATGTCGGCCGCTGGCTGTTCGGATGACATTGCTATCAGCGTGCTAGAAATATTCTATATATTATATATATATAGATATCTATATAATATATATATATTATATATATTATATATATATAATATTATAATATATATATATATATATATATATATATATATATATTTCCTGAACAACTGTTCAGTTATTTATAGCAGATATCTCAGAATGGCTCCAATTCCACATCTCAGAAGTCAGGAACAACAATGAACACTTCGGTTTATATTGAGAAAGTGAGGGAGTGTTGACGAGCGCCTCGGACGACCTGCTTAATTGTGGCTACTGGATGACCATCTTGGTAGAGGACTTCTCTAGTGGTTAGCCCAGCCGCCTCACAACCACTTGTGAGGCCAGATCGATTC